AGATGATCAATATCATGCTGTCGATTTAGATCCATATGGTACACCAGCACAATTTTTAGGTAAATTATATTCTTTGTTTTTTCTTTTTTTAATTTAAATTTCAATAAACTTATTCAGTGTTACTTGTATAGATGGAGCAGTACAATGTATTAAAAAGAATGGTGTTCTTTGTGTAACAGGTAATGCAATGAAATTTTTTTTTGAATTTTATATTTTTTTGTTTCTTAATTTTATTTAGCTATTGATATGCCATTATTATGTGGAAATAATCCGCATAGCTAAATTGAAAAATAAAACTTTATAATAATAATAAATAAAGTTTTTATAAAGTTGTTATTCCAAATATGGATCAATACCATAGCATCAACCATTTTCTCATGAATTTGCTTTTCGTATAATACTTTATACATTACAGAACCGTAGCTCAAAGTAGTGTCGAGATAGAGTCATCAAAATACTTCATCACGGCACAGCTTGCCAATCAATGAGATCTCGATATTATGGGGTGAGCTTTTGATTCAGTACACTAGATATAGGGAACTCCATTTAGCACTAAAAAAAACTTAAATAAATTGTAGTACCGTAAAACTATAAACAAAAGCATTCTGACATCACGTTTTTTGCTTATGGTCTTTATAAGGACGATGATACGATTGAGCTACTAATTCCATTATACATCAACTAATTGAGGTTTGGCTGGTGCCTGCGATCAGGATTCACTGGGTTCTATTTATGGTAAAAATATTAGCCCAAACGGTTAAGATTTAGATAGTTTTCATCTGGTAGCGCTACTTTTTGTGACTACTGTAGAACCTACTCTAAGAGTATTACTTTATTAACATTGACTATTATTATTCGAATTATATAACAACATCTAATTGACTTTGAGCTTTAGCAGATCCATAACCAATACGTACAAAAAGAGGTACATAAAAATCAATAGACATACATAATAATTTAAGATATTGTTACAATCTATGGAAATGATATTGATGCTGCAGCAGTTGAACCAATAAAACAAAATATTGATTTAAATGATGTAAAATATCTTGTTCAATCAAATGATGATGATGCTATGAATTTATAGTATAGTTATAGAAAAATAGATGATCAATATCATGCTGTCGATTTAGATCCATATGGTACACCAGCACAATTTTTAGGTAAATTATATTCTTTGTTTTTCTT